AACTGAAGTTTGGGTTTAAGAATCTGATGCTTTGGGGATATATATATATATAAAAAAAAAAATAATGATTCAAGAAAGTTGGTTCAAATTCACAGTCACTTGAATAGTGCCATATATATCCATTTGCTGAAGGGTCCTTTCATATCAGATTTGGATGAATGTGGAATTTTTCAGCATGACCAAGTTTCATGCTACAGATCATGTATAACACAACAGAGTCTAGTGAGGCAAGGTGACACCATATTGAATGACTAGCCAGTTCAGAGCCCTGACTTAAATATGATCAAGAAACTAGATAGAATAAAAGAGAAGTGTACATCAGAAGATTCTGCATAATCCTGGGGGAACTTAGCCCCAGAGAATGCTATCTCATACCTGTGAAGACAGTGAACAATTTTTATGCAGCCCTTTTCAAGGTACATTAAATAAATTATTCAAACAAAGGGGAGCACATGAAAAATTAACTATGTACAGTAAATTCTTGAAATGAACATTATGTAATAAAATTCATTATAGTCCTTTTTTTTTCTCTCTCTCTCTCTTTTAAAACAGTGTACCTAGCTTTGTTTATGTGAAAACTTCTGCATGATCATTTTTGGCCATTGTTTTACATCTCATTCAAAACTCTACCACAAAATGATAATTAGGCATGGAAATGATTTTAATAGAGTCAAAGTTTCATTTGTAGAAAAGGTGATACAAAACATCTGCTTATAAACTGGCAACTATTAGAATATTAGTTTAAGATGGTTGGTTGGTTGGTTGTTTGGGGTTTTATGGCATATCAACCACTATGGGTTATTTAATGCCAAATCTAGTTTGCAGATATATATTAAACATATATACTTTGTAAACATAATTTGAGGATAACATCCTTAAACCACAGCTTGTTTATTCTTACTCAAGTAAATGATTTTGGCAACATTATTTTTTCAAAAACGTATAGCTGGCAACATTATTTTTCCGAAAACATTATCTGAGGCCTTGCTGTTGGATGTAGTTTATCGCCATACCCAGGACGAGTTTAAGATGGTCAAAAACTTTTGCACAGTGCAGTAATAAAAATAAGAAACAATTTTTTTTAAATGATAATCAAATATTAAGGAAAAGTTGTGCATAATTCAATGAGCTCAACCATTAGCTAACATTTGGCAATTAAGAACATTACGGTTAACAGCTAGTATCATTAACACCAGCTTTGAAAAATAAAGGTAAAATATTCATAAAAATAGCTTGACAAACTGAAGAGCTTAGAGAGAAGCAGCAAGATTTTTAAAAATGTATCATCCTAGGCCAAATCTACTTTTTGTAATATCATATATACTCTGTCGCGTTATTAGTTACTTCATGTTTTATAGATAAATACTTACTGGAATCTAACTGAATGATGGCAATATGTATCTGCACATTTAGGATAAAGGCTTTTAGAATTTCTGTTGGTTGCAAACAAATGCAACTGTTTGGATGAAATGCCTGTCTGAATTTAAAAACTTCAGACAGGCATCGATTTTTTTGAAGGCACACTTGAAGCTATGGTTCAAAAAGAAGTCTAACACTTAGAAAGAAGATGTTTTAATGTTTCATCACATTCATCAAAGAAAACTAATGAGTATCTAAATAAAATGGGTTTCAAAGACATATTCGATGAAGTTGTTGGCTTATTTGCCGGATTGTAATCTGACTGAACACTTATGTAGCATTCTAAAAAAGGAAGGTGAATGGCAATTTATTGCTATCAAAGATGCAATTTAGAATACTATTTTGGATTCTATACAGTCTGTTCATTGTAAAGAAATACAACAGTTCACAAAATCAATTGATAAATGATTTTTTAAAATATGAAGCATACATTTTGCTTTCAATCTTGTTTTTATAACTTTGTCATAGAGGGTTCAATATTAAAGCCATCCCTGCACCAATACTGATATTTGTTTAGTAAGTTATTTCCCTTTCCGGATCTTTTCCCTTTTGGGTCCCCTGAGTTAGAACTCACTGGTGGAACTTCTTGGACAGCATTTTTTTCTCTCTCTCTCTAATTTATGCATTCTTTTGCTATACAGCACAATTCTTAAAGTACTAGAATGACCTGTGAAAATTTCAGTTTTCCAATTTAAATTTGTTGATGAAACTTATTTCTTAATGAAAGAATAAGCTCATAGCAAGTTCTACAACAATAAAATATCTGTAGAATACATCATCAAATATTTAAGCTTAACGGCTTTAACAAAATATTACAATAACAATTATAAATATAAATGCTGGTCATTATTTAAAGGAGTAAGGGGATACAAAAGAAATTAAAATTGACAACTTTTTTTCATTTCATTGAAACAGACAAAACATGAGAGTGTTATCACCTCTTCTTTCTTTCTTTCATTCATTTTCTCACTGAAACCAAGCAGCATCTCTCATGTGCCTTTCCTTTCTTTCCATGTGATAAGAACAAAATAGTCCATTATTATTTACGAGTTACTGGCAGGGTGTAACATATATATGTACATGCTAACTAAGGAACTAAAGGTGGGAGAAGCAGAATTATAATAAAGATGTTAGAAGTTACTCTGAGTGTGATAATTAAGAACATTTCCACAAAATTATTAAAAGCAATTTAACTGAAATGTTTAAATAAAAATAACATTTGGATTTTTATAAAAAAATTACAGTAAAATCTAATTAATATATTATTGTATTTATACATTTTGAAAATTTTAATATTTTATCTTGTTTTAATTTTTGCTGTCTTGTAGTTCCTGCATTAAAAAAACAAATGATTAAAGAATGAAAGGATCAAAATATTTATTTTCTGAACATTTTAATATTGTTTTTATTAAGCTACTGACAATTATAAATGATAAACTTAAAAATCATTTTCATTTCAGGAAGGTTTAAAAATAGTTTCAGGCTGATTAAAGTTGTTTTTTAGGATGATTATGAGACAATAGTGAAAGAATTTAGTCAGCAGCCCTGTTGTCATCATTATAATGACAATTCTTCACATTTTTTTTCCAAAACATTTTTCTTTGAAAACATTTCACATGTTCTATAATTTTTCTTTTTAATTTCAACACAACATTTCTTGGAGTTTCATCCAGTGACCAAAAATAGATAAATAAATTAAATTTTTTGGTAACATGTGCTGCTTGGTTAGAAGTTAGAAAGTTCCACATGAAGATCTCAGCAAACTGTCAAATATTAATATCAGACAGTATTTTTCAAAGTTAATAAACATTACCACAAAGACAACCTTCTAAGTAAGATCTTCAATGGGAGAACAATTAAAATTAGCTACTCCTGTACCAATAACATGTATAAAATCATCAACTCACATAATAACTATATTTTGAGAAATTTTGGGGGGGATAAAGAACAAACCTGGTATTGAACCCTCCTGTAATTGTAGATATAAATAAAATTGTCCAGTAGAGAGCTAATGCAGATCTACTAGGGATATATATGAAGCAACCATTTCCTCCAAAATATGAAAAATTATGTTTACATTGGAATTTCTTCAGGGGAATGGAAAGAGATTTTATACTCATAGGCACTCTTTTACCAACCCTAAATTAAAACACCAGACAGCTCTTTCAAAAAAATTTGGGGAATTGAAGGAGACAAATTTCAACCCACAGATAAATTGGAAGATTATAGGTTCCACCCATACTCCTAATAGTCTGTAGGGGTAACTTATGTTTAGAAGAAAAATTAGAATAATAAAGCACAATAATCAAAGCCAACTATTGAATCAAAGGAATGAATTAGAATTAAAATGTCTACATAAAAACAAATTCAAATTTCCATAATATAGATTTTACTTTATTAGCTACTATATTTCTCTAACTCTTCAAATGCCCAATGTATAACTAATTCTAATTTCTATATTTCCATTTTTACACCATATTAATTATATCTTATAATTGTCCCCTGTTCTAAGAACTCTCTTTTCTTTTATGACTTACACCTCTTTATCTATATATTTTAGTATTTTTTTTTAAATATAACTTTCTATTTTTATGTATTCTTAAGTATAACTTCATAATTTTTAAATATAACTTGTTTTTGATTTATCTTTAAAGTTATATTTTTTTTTTTATTTCCTTTTTATTTCTAAATGTATAATCATATTCTTATTTCTAAATATTTTTTATTCTTTAATATAACCTATTGAATTTATATTAAATAAAAATTTCAATATAAATTATCTAAATAGGACTTATTTTCAATTTATTTAAATATATCTTATTTTTAAAGTTAATACTATCTTTATAATTTAAGGTATTTTAAAACCCACTTTTTGTTCTTTTCTTAGTTTCAAATTAACATTTCATTTTTCATATAACCCCAATTTAATGTCATAAGGTTAATATCTGGGTTTAATTTTATATAACCTCTTCCCTTTAAGAATAATACCTTCCATCCTCCCTTGACTAATGTCTTGTGTCTTCCATCTAACAGAAACATTGAAATGGATAAATTTAGTATTAGGTTTTAGATGTTTGGTTGTTTTTTTGTTTTTTTCCCAATGGTTAAATTTCTAATTCTGACATGAACTTAGTCCATACTCGGGTTGAAAAAGACAGTTTTTGTTGGTTGAAATAAGCCTATTCCCCATATGAAAAGTAGTATCATAATGTATCATCTTCTAACCTTTTATATAAGGAAGTGCTGAAAAGTTCCCAGCCTGACCAAGAAGGGATTCTCTAACAAGTTCTAATGTTTAATCATTTGGTTAGATTTGAGGAAGTTGGCTGGACAACACAAACAATACAATACTATAACAATATTTGATTTTGTTTATGCAAACAGGTATCTGAAACTTAATATTAAAGATTCATTTGCATAATACAACTTGAAACAAAAGGAAATTAATGAGCAAAAAAATTAGCATTTGAATAAATATCAGCAATAATATGAAAATCATTCTCATCAATCTTTAAATTAAAAAAAGGAAAGAACATCTGTAATAAACAATTAAAATTGTCAAAAGAAATATAATTACTGACCTTTTGCCCTAAGTCTTCATCCATGTCCATCACCCATGACCGAGCATTATATACAGCTTTTGATGGTGACTGAAATAAAGAAGCAAAAGAAAATGGTCACACTTCAAACATATATATACATACATAAAGAAAAATATTAAATTCAACGTTTACTCATAAAATAATTATTAAACAATACACAATAATTCTTATGAATTATTTTTTTTTTATATACAACAAATTCAAAATTTTATGGCATCCAAGACACCACACTCTTTTATTCTTCCCAAACATAACTCCTTGGTTTATATTCACACTTGGGATCTCTGGTCGGCTAATGATTATTCATATACCATAATTTACCAGTACTTGAACCCTGCCTAATGCTATAATACTGTAATATTAAATACAAATAAAGAGGGTCTTATAAACCATCAAATACACTAAATAATGAGTGAAAAAAAAAAAAAAAAAAAAAAAGTCAAATCTATTAACAAAATGAGCATTAGATAAACAGATAAAAATTCCAAGAGTTGTTTGAATTATAAATATGTGAAATCTCTAAATGAAATGGGTTGTTGCAAATGGAATTGCCATGGCATCCTTTACTTGTAATTGTAGTAGTATAGAATAACATAGGAATTGCTTACATGTCTTGGGTTGCTGAGAATGAGTTGAGTTCATCCATATATTTATCACCATTTTCTTCCTTTTTTTATTTTTATTTTTGAAAAAGAGGTTCCTCTTTTTGCATACAACCTATATACCTAATGAGGGCTGTAAAATAGATTGGTTGAAAAACTCTTGGAATAAGGACTGTTCTCACAATTATAGTATGTTAACTGTATTCCTACCTTCCTCAAATATTTAACCTGAGAATTTTTTTTTTTTTCCAAATCAGGAAACAAAAATTTTAAGAACAAATTTTTTAGTTAGAAAAGTGTGCAGGTGAAAAGTAAAAATTATCTTTAGGACCTAATAATTAAAAAAAAAGTTAAAACTTACTGTGATAAGTACAATCAAAACTTATCATTTCAGCATCAAATGATTCATATGAAGAAAAAAAACAGCTTGCATGCAAAGAGAAATTATATCAAAGTTTTAAAATACTTCCATTTTAATCTTCAAATTATAGATGTACATCAATAGAACTCACACACACACATATTACAGTATATATAATAAAAATGTGACTGAAATTTTTCATCTTTTTTCATTTATTTACCTACTTCTCAGTGAGAGTATTCCTTGAAAATAAAATTAAATATTGGTAGGAGAGTGGCTTTCAGTTTTCCAAAGACAATGATAGGTGCTTAGAAAAATAGCAGATGGCATCAGTAATGTACGGATACAATAAAACAATGCAGGTCACATGTGCATTCCTAAGAAAACAAGACAGATAAAAAAAAAATAAAAAATAAAAAAAATAAAAACAACAGACAGATGAAGAAAAAAAAGAATATAACTGTACTGTCATTTTGATAGCAAAGAAAATATCTACCACTGATTTTTTTCTTTTTTTAAAGACAAGACAACAAACTACATGACAAAGAGTGTTGAATTCTAATAATAATTAATAATTATTCTTGTTCTGAGGTGCACTAATTGCAAAGCCAGGTGAATAATTTGTACAAATACAATATTTGTGTTCATTTACAACAATAAGAAGTAAAAATTTATTTTCTAACAACTGTATCAGGTTTAGAAATTAGTGTTACATTTCAACATAAGAAAAGTTGAAAAAAAAAAAAAAAATTGCACTTTTGAGGGTTAATTTCTTTTGACACATTAAAACATGTTAATTGTCAAATTGGAATGAAAACAAAATTCAATACTTGAATTGCAAATGTCTCACAAACAAAATTTGTTTGGTATTTGAAAACAATTTATAAGTTTAAAATTTTCTCAATATAAAAGTTTTTTTGTTTTTTTTTTGCAACATTTAATAAAAATATTTCAGTTTGTTTCTTTCAATATGCTAACATTTTTACGTTAATAAAGCAAAATGTAATAAATGTGAATTTCTAATTCAGGACTTTATAATAATTATATAATTAAATAATTGAAAATATAAAATTTAATGATGGTTACTTCATCTGTAAAAAAAAGAAGCAATTGGGCAATAAATTTTACTGATTTATATAACTTCTTTTATTTTTTTAATTCAACGTTTTATGGTTTTGAAGTCAATACTGCAACATTGACCTTTTTTGTCAATAGTGATGCTGATGGCAGATAAGATAGTTATGGTAAAGTGGTTTGTTCATTTACCCATTTACTATAAACTAGTGTGGCATGCCATTGTTGAAACAATTTGTCAAGATAGAACACACACATATGAAACTAAAAGTGTGGATCCATGCATTTCCCCAAGAGCATCATGTAAAGTTAGCATAAACAGCTCCAGCTGGAATTCATATTTGGTTTGCCAATTCCATTATACCACCCCCTACACATTGAGTTCTCCATCAGAAAAAAACGAGTTCAAAAGGCTGCAAAGGAGGATTTGGGAGTATACTATTTAGTAGGTATGGACTTGAAATTGGCAAAAGCTAGATTTAATGCCGATTAAAGGTTTGTTCCCTTTTAAGTATTATTATATCACTTTCAGATGACAAAAAATTGGCGGGGGGGGGGATCTTATATTAATTACAGCTGGATTTCGGTTTTATTTTTAGTGAAACTGCAATTTTGATATCACCAATATTTTCCTTTAATTTTGTGAATGTGCTGGTGGTGTAATGGATAGTGGCTCCAAATGAGAAATTGTAGAACAGATTTCAAATTCCAGTCAAGTTTGTTACATTCACTTACATGTAAATATATAAAAAAAAAAAATTGTTAATGCAATATTCACTTGCAAAAAATCTTAAAATCCCAAATATGTTTTGGCTTTAAATAACCAACAAAGGGTTGATAGGCCATAAAAAATAAATCGATCAATCCTTTAATTTTTCAAAACTCATACAAAACCAAGAATTGACAGATTTCAATAGTTTTTTGGCTAATTAAATTTAATACAAATGCTATTTTCTAGCATAAAATTGCAAATTTTCTAACATAAATTACAGGGTAAATTTTGCTAATCATTTGAAAAATGTTAATTTCTTCAATGCCTAGTGATACAAAAATGGCCCCTCCACTTTTCTTCCTTTGTTATGCAGACCATAAAAAAGAATTCAATATCTGTCAAACAATGTTTTTAAAGAGTCAATTGCTTTGATTAGCACTTTTTTCTGTGTGACTTTCTGGAATGAGGAATTCTCATTATTCACACTATTTATATTCGGAATATTGTCTTCATCTTTGTCATTGTTATCATAATGTTTCAGCTGTTGTGCTCTCCAGCCTTCCTCAGGTGTATATTGATCAGGATAACCTATAGGCAATTCTGAACTGAACCCCTTATTTAATCTATGGGGGTAGACTGTTCTCATTCCACATAGATTAAAAAAGGGTCCAGCTTAGTATTCCCTGTAGGTTACCCAGATTGATATATCCCTGAGGAAGGCTAGAGGGCACAACAGCCAAAACATTGTGATTACAAAGATGTGAACAACAGTTTGAATATAGATAGCATAAATGATACTTTTTTTTCATTTGCTTATTTACTCTATTAAACTGTTAAAAATAAAAGCAAACTTTTTTAAAATTATTTCTATTAAATATGTTTTCTAAGAAATAAAATTATTTCTGTCAAATATAGACAAAAATTAAACATTTCAACTGAATTGTAAATATTTTCAGACTACAATAATTTCAATTACATCAAAAATTTATTATATAGAGGTACAGATATTTCGCACAATATTTTAAAGTCATTGGATAACCAATCATAAAGAAATATAACCACTTCATTTTATGCTTATTGTTGTTACTGGCTACAAACAGGCAGATTACAAACGAATACCGGCAATTACTGTATATACTTGTTTATAAGCTGACCAAAATATATATATACATGTAACCAAAAAAAGTGATGATAAAATAGACAAAAACTATGTGAAAAAAGGTGCCAAAATATTTGGAGTGATTTCTTTAAAATGAAACACCATGTTACTTAGATTATACAAACACTTTACAGAATATTTTTAGTAAATACAGTATGTTTTCATTTGAAAATAATTTGAATTAAACATGTGTTTTTAATTATTTATTGTACAATACATAGGTAACAAGTTCACTATATAAAGTTTTAATAACTTTAAGGCTGACATTCATTCAAATTTGTATGTTAGATAAAATCCTGTTACATTTGAAGATGGTGCTCATGTTGTCTAAAATGAAAGTAAACAAAAATTTTGGAAACCTTATAAAACATATAAAATGGTAAAACAATCATTGTTTATTGGAGTTCTGAAAGAAAAATTATACTCTGAATGACACTTAAAAACATTTTAGATACCAAAACATTAAAAGTTCTTAATATTCTCCACTCATAGTAATTTACAAAAATTGTACCATTTGAATATAATGCGTTGATTAGCTGCCTTGGCTTATAAACAGGGTTTGGATTTTTGCCCATTTTTCTGACATAAAATGGAGAGTGGGGTTAAACATGAGTATATACAGTATCTTATGGACTCTCAAATGAGAAGATAACTCCTGCAAAAGTTAAGTTCAAGTTAGTTCTTGACAGAAACATCTTCCCTTACCCTCAGTATTTACTGTCGTATAGTCATGCACTAAATTTTCTGTTTTATTTGTAAAATTGATGAAAAATCTATACAAAACTGTATGGTAAAATTGTACAAAATTCCATGTAAAATGTTTTATTTTCTAAAAGGACTTCAGACTTAAGTAATGTTCTTACTGATGGAACTATATATGCATAGGGAGAGGAGTAATATAAACATAAATGTCAGTTACAATTATACACTGAGGGGAAATGCTGAAGATGTAGGCGTACCAAATTTTAAAATTTTTAGTGTCTGACATGTCTAAACACACAGCTCAGCCAATCTCATTTGGCTTCCTAACACTTTTGTTATTATTGCTGTTATTTTTAAATATCACACACTGTGACAACAGAAGATTTGCTAACTCAATTA